TGGCCTCAAAGGTAACTCTGTTAGAAGGCTGTTCTCACCCGTCTGCTTTGTCTTGGGCTTCATCGGCTGGAAGAAAGAGGGGCAGGTGACAGCTGCAAGGTGGGACTTGGGCAGAAACGCGCAGATGCTCACGTTCTCGAGGGGGCAGCCACTAACTATACTATGGCAGTGCGGATAATGACTGCTCTGTGGGAATAACTCCCCCGTGGGGTGGTCCTTATTTATTTATTTATTTTAATCCCCACTCAAGGATATGTTTTTAGAGAGAAGGAGGGAGAGAGAGAGAGAAACACTGATGTGAGAGAGAAACACTGATGTGAGAGAGAAACACTGATTGGTTGCCCCTGTATGTGTCCTGACCAGGGATCAAACCTGCAGCCTCGATACGTGCCCTGGCCAGTAATTGAAGCCACAACCTTTTTGGTGTACAGGACGATGCTCCATACAACTGAGCCACACGGCCAAGATGATCCTTTTTTAAAAAAACACACAACAACCACCATGTTTTTATTGATTTCAGGGAGAGGAGGAGAGAGGGAGAGAGAGAGAGAAACATCAGGGAGAGAGTCATTGATCGGCTGCCTCCTGCACACCCCCTAGTGGGGGATCAGGCCTGCAACCCAGGCACGTGTCCTGACTGGGAATCGAACTGTGACCTCCTGGTTCATGGGTCTACGCTCATGAACCCATGAGTCAACCACTGAGCCACACCGGCCAGGCCAGGACGACCCTTTTTTCTTTTGGTATTTCCCTCAATGCAGAATTTGGGGGGGGGGGGGGCCAAAAATCTCAATAATCAAGATAAATTACATTTTAATGCAACCCTTTAAAAATATAAATTAATGCCAAAAAAAATCCATGATGAACAAAATATCAAAATTTTAAAGGAAGGCTACTTACTAATTTCTTGGTCTTGGGCAAATTGATATCACCAAGCTTCATTTTCTTCATTCTGAAAAATGTGAAAGGAATATAGTCAGTTGCCTGCCAGGAAGCTGTAAGGATCGAGTCAGGGCATGCATCTGAAGTGCCCGATGAAAAGAGTGGATGCTGTGCTATACTCACAAGAGTTTATGGAATAGCTGTGCTAAAAAGCAACAAAATGTTTATTTTTCTCTCTTTTGATTTTGGTAATTCTCCAGATCAATACTGACATTTCTCTCAATGATGTTTGCCATCTGCACCTCATCTTGCGAACAAACATGAATATTGACACAGAGGAGCCCTCTCCCCAGTAGACCAGTTTCCCGAGTCCTTAAGGCCCTCCCCGCTCCACGGCAGGGGCTGAGTTCTCTCTGTTCTCTTCCTGCGGCTCCCACACTCTTTCTTTTTTTCCCTGATGTCTCTCCCTGCTGCCAGCCTCTGCACAGAGTCTATCCTAGGCGTGCTCATCCCCAAATTGTGATTGCTTGGCCAGGGGTACAGAAGGATGGAGTGGGCTGAGCTGGCATGATGGAAGTGGGCAGAGGTCACATTTGCTGGCATGATAGGAAGGCTGACCCTGTGGTTTCTCCTGAAGCTGGCATCATATCCCCAGTGTGGTGTTGTCATAGTGCTCTCACTACCTGAGATTGTTACCAGACAGGGACAGGGCCTGGAGTAGGTCTGCCTTAGGCCAGCCGGTAGTTTGTGGGTTCTTGACCGTGCAGGAAAGATTTCACATGACGAGTCCCAGTGATTTTGAGAGTACGTTTATTAAAGCTGGGGACAGTGAAACAAAGGAAGGGCTTAAGGTAGAAGAAGCCATAGGACAGAGCCTAGGCAGGCTGCTTTGGCTTTCTAGAAACATTATAGGAAAGAAGTGGGTTACACTGGGCTGCGTGAACTCACTGAGAAGTAAAAGTCACAGTGACAGAAGTGAGCCAAGGTGGGACTGCTGTTAGCTCACTAGAAAGTCAGAGAAAAAGAAGGGCTTTGGAGACAGGATCAGGGGTTAGCCCAGAATGAGCTGCTTCTGCCTGCTGCTCCCCTGGTTGCAAGTCTCATGGGGACCTTTAGTTTAGGAGAAAGACAGCAGAGATACAAGGTGTGGGGGTGCTCTAGTGAGAGTGCCTGGGGTCCTTTGTCTTGAGACTTTTTAATCTCTCTTTAGCTGCTGCTTAATCCTAAGGGAAGTCTCAGGGGAGGGTCTTAACAGAATATTCATTAGCTTTCCAGGTGTGTCCTTCAATAGGTTGATTTATCAAAATGTGCATATAGAGGGGTCAGTGTTATCTCCTGGTTAGTTTTATTTGCAAAGAACATTATCAAAGAGGGACCAGGACTGAGGCCAGTTTGCCCCTGGACCGTCCGGAATGTGTAAACCATTTGCTCCTAAGTGTCCTTGGTTAGGGAAGATAAACCCTTTATTAGTTGTCTGTAAATTGCTCACATTGTTTGGCCTTGTTAAATTACTTTGTCTCAGTTTCCCTGGTTCTACTTGTCAAGGAATTTCCCTAGCTTCTTTCTATACTGCCTCAGAACCTTTGTGTGTTGTTGTTTTTTGCTTCCAACAGCTTTAATAGTTATATAACATGCCACAATAGCCACCCTATTAAAGTATACAATTTGGTCCTTTTCATATATTTACAGAGTTACACCAGATTTCACAGGACCTTGAATGCTAGGCTAAGGAGTTGAAGTTTTATCCTAAGGGGATTGGAGAATGAATAGTTAATTGCAAAATGTGTTCATTAATGAAATAATCTGACAAACAGTATATCCCATTTCCTTTGGCTTCTTCCTAACTTTATGTTACAGGTTGCTTTTTATGCTTATAATCATGTCATATTTATGATTTTGTTTTCTACTTTCACCTTAGTACTTTTTCTTACATACTTTTCTCTATATGTCTATATAGTCATTATTAATGGCTACACATTATGTCTTGCTATTGTTGGATATTTACTGTTTTACTTTATGTGTATATCTTTTTAAGATAAAGCGTGTGTGTGTGTGTGTGTGTGTGTGTGTGTGTGTGGCTGGACTAGGGTGAGGTAACTGAAGTGCCTGGGATGTAAAATTTAAGGAGGTGCCCATGCTCAGGCATGCAATACTGCACCTGCTATGTCACTTTCCTTACTCTAGTCCCTATACCTGTAGTGTGTGTGTTTCCTTTTAAAGTATTTCGTTTCCTTTTAAATTACTCCTTAGCCTGGCATTAAGGTCCTTTGAAATCTCATGTAACTCTGTAAAATATGAAAACCACCAAATTGTATACTTTAATCGGGAGACTGTTATGGCATGTTATATGACTATTAAAGCTGCTAGAAGCCAGGGTGAGATTACTGGTTTCACGATGTGATTACTGGTTCAAAGTACATTAAGATTTGTATTGCTCTTGATATTAAGTACTGTACTAGAATGTATCTTGGAAGGATTCCATTGAAGTTTTTTTTAAAGCATAATTTTGATATGACATTTTACATAATGGCATTTTACAAAGATTACGGAGGCAATAAGGCAGTTAGGAGGCTATCACAATAGTATGCCCCAACTATAGTCCTAGTGTTACTTTAGAAATTCCACAGGTCTGACTTCTCACATTTGGGTAACCAGGTCAGAATACTCTGTTTTTAGATAGTTACACCTTCATGCATTCAGCTTCTACACTCAATCATCATAGAAATAACAACAAGGCCCTTCATTTTGAGACCATGTTTCTAACAGCAGCCTCTGTGTCACCAGGGATCTTATGAATGAAGAGCGGTGGGCTACTGCTGTACAAGCCAAGTTCCCAGCTTTAGGGTTAAGTTAAAATTCTATTATTTGGGGACAAGTAGCATTAGAATTTGCCTACTAACAAGAGTTTTTATACAAAACCAAGTGGAAAAATATCTGGGCTGGTCTGTTGTGTATAAAATTTTCCTAGGGGGCACTTTTTAGAAATCACTAAATGGAAAATCACCAGCCTGGAGCTTAGCGAGGTCTGGTTCCTGAGTCATTAACAGGCAGATGGAGTTCTCAATCTTGCATGGTTAGGGGAAAGATTGGAGGGCGACGGATCAGAAAGAGCAGGTTTGGGTAGCATAGAGCAGCATGGATAGAGATTGTTGGAAAGAAGCCAAAATCATCTTCAAAGCTCTTGCAACAACTTTCCTTTGGCTACCTTAGAAAATAACGTGTCTTCCTGAGGCAGAATAGAAAGAAGCCGTCCCTGCCCATTAGGGCTGGCTGATTTATTATTCAGCACCTACTAATTGGAAGTACATGAAGCTACAATATTAAAGTTAACGTTTCTTTTGTGGCTTTCTGCCCACTCACTCTTCTCAAGTTTTGCTAAATTACCAGCTTGAAACTTGCTTCTCTGATAAGGACTCCCTTTCTGAAGACTGAATGTCTTCTGTGTGTTCTGGATCAAGCTCATCACGGCTCCCTAGCCTGCAGAAATGCTGGCTTTTGGAGAAAGGCTTGCTGAACCACACTCAATGCGAACACAAACACACACACACACACACACACACACACACAGTGCGAACACACACATACACCTCGCACCTAGGGTGGGGCTCCCAGACAGCCCCAGGCGCTACAAACCACCAAACCCAAACCTCCGAAACGTGTTCTGCAACAAGATTGCAAAGTAATTTCTCCTATAGGCACCTTCCCAAGAGCAAAGTGCGCTTAAAGGTACCTGTTCTCAATACGATTCCTACAAATTAAGGACCGGATATTTTTGTCAAATTCCCGAAGAGCTCGATACTGGGCTTGGACCACAGACAAACCCATCCCTCCGGGCTCTGAAACAAAACAAACACTTCTTCCCAGGCTGCTTATTTGTAGGATGCCCGTTACTTTTGCTAAAGCTGTCGCACCTCCAAGGGCCCCAGCGACTGGCTTGGTCTCTTACGCCACGTGGGGAGTGGGCCAAACCCTAGGAGGGTTAAAAATCCCGCCCCGCTAGGACCCAGCGGAAGCGTCTCGGCGGCGCTCGGACGGTGGGGGACGCACTAGCCAATCAGAAGCCGCCTTTGCGTGGCCCGCAGCCAGCCGGCCGGGCCCCCGCTGCCTGCCGCTCGGGATATTTAAAGGCGCGCGCCAGCGCCGCGTCGTCGCGGTCCTCGGGCCCGGGTCAACGGAGCGTAGCGCTATGGCCGGCTGCCTCGTGCTCAACAACGGCGCCAAGATGCCCCTCGTGGGGCTGGGCACCTGGAAGGTAGGTGCCGTGGGGGCGCGTCCTGCGGCTCTTCGCGGGCTCCGTGCAGCCTGTGGCGGGGAGGGACCGGAGGGACCCTCAACGGTCTCCGCCGCGGACGGAAGGAGGCCTCGGGCCTGCGCGGCCCGAGGCGGGCGAGGCGGGCGGGCCGGGGGCCTT